ACTATCAGCTACATTTGAAATCTCTGGCTCACAAGCATAACACATCGTCAAAACATCACACTTGTGCTTCCCATGATCCCGTCCTATATACAGACATCATTTCAGTGCTGTTACTACCTCTGGCGCCACCTTAAAGGCGAGACAACTCTGTCCCCTCATCCCGTGATTGTACCCTTTATACGGAACAGTGAGGTGGCAAAACAGCATGACACTCCCATCTTCAAGATGCTGTGTAAAAGGGGTTTAATCTGGTGCCATGATTCGATCATTTTGATTTTGTCCAGTACTTCAATTTATGATTAAATACCTGCAAAACTAATGACATCACTGTCGTCCTCAGTTAGAATTCAATGCTAATAAGCAAATGTTAGCATGCCGACATACTGAACTACGATGGTGAGCATGGTGAACTTTATACCAGCTAAACATCACCATATTAGCACTGATGTCATGAGCATGTTAGCATTCTGACTTTAGCATTTAGCTCAAAGTTGTAAATCTGCTTAAATGTAAGGAGAGACTGAATTTAAATATTAAAACCGAAATAATTAGGCAGACAGTTGAAGCTGGTGTATTCAACATTTATTTTCTGTCATTTTAAAAACTGTTTGAGGACAATCAAAATATAAATACATTTCTCTCTCGCACTCACTCACTCACACACACATGGCAACTGGCATCCGAACACATCCACACACACACACACACACACCCATCCCCACACACACACACACACACACACACACAACCCCTGCCACTGATTTAGATGTTAAAAGGTGCAACAACCAACCACCAACGACTGAACCATCAGTAACTTTCATGATCAAACGTCATCATCCAGATTTCAGAAGCTTTTGAAACACACACACAGAGGAAATATTGAACAGGTTTCAGACTTATGATTATTAAAAAGTCTCTTTACAGCCATAATACTCTGCTTGAAGTGTCGATGTAACCTTCCTCACATCTTCACATCATGACTGGCTGAATAGGCTGTTACATACTGTCAGCTGAGTGAATCCAGAGGAGGGTCAATCAGATAAATTTAGATAAACAATGACGTGTCTGAAATTTTGTACTTCAAACAATAACCTGTGGCATATTTGAATCAACGTACATCACTACTGGGACAAAACCCTCCAGCAGGCAGGAAGTGAGACATTTCCAGGTTCTAGTTTGATAGTGACAGACAGAAACAGACAAACTGGGAGCAACATGGTGAGCTCCTCCACACAAAGAGAAAGTCAGTCATCATCTAAATGAGTCACAGCTCTGCTGACTTTGATTGATCACAGTGACTGGTGGATTTAGATCATCAAGGATCATGTAAAACTGGTGGTTTTGCATGTTTATAGCCTGATGTTTTCTGTTTTAATAAAACTTATTAAAAGCCTGTCAACTCTGAAAATCACCGTGCATTGATTTTAAATTTGCATGACAGTTAACAAAATAAAAAAGGCAACAAAAATGTTCAACTTATATTGTGCTGTGTGGTAAAGCAGGGACTATATGAAGAGAATCACCCTGACGTCACGCTAACAGCAGACTCTTCCGGGTATACAACTGGCAATTCATTTCAGTTGCAGGGATAAGTAAAATGGGCAAACTTGTTTATTTCTGTTGTCATTTTCACCCGTAACTGTAACGTGTATAGATAGATGGTTAAACACTGTGATCCGACCTATTTGACATTTCTGCTGTGCTAATTTTATGAGCTACGTTGCTAACTAGCCTTTTTGGTAACCTAAATCTACTGGCATAGGAGCCAACCAATGTTCTGTGATGAACAGGGCTGCAGGAAAATGTCATTTAACAAATCTAAAAAATAATATCAATTTAAGTGTATGCTGTATTTGGAATATTTTCCCCGCTTTATCTTACACACTAACCAATCAAGGCAGCAGTAGACCAGCAACTCCGGTGTTCTGCAAAGTAAAATTACTATTTTGTCAGTGGATTACGGTGGCTTTGAGATAATGGCTTGAGTTCCCAGTTGGGAATCGCTGTCTGACGGCAAGGTAAAGCATTAAAAATATACTATATACAACACACACTTGAAGTGGTATTGTTCAAAATGTGGGCCTTTTTTTTAGGCTCAGCACCTTTTCATTTCATATACACAACGTGAGGGTTTTCTACCTTAAAGTTATTGTAAACAAACATAATAATTTGGTCTGTAAAACACCTTCCTGGTAAACTTTGAGAGATTTGAGATCCAACTGTTTCAAAATTCACTACATTAGAGAGCTTTGTTGTTGGAAAAATCCAGTCAGACACAGTGAGTAAACACAGACACTCTGTAAAGGATAATGGTCCATGGGGTTTTCTAACATGGTTAAGAAACTGCAACTTCGACCAGAACCTCTGACTGACACTAAAACTGACCAATCACAGACCACTGCTTCGGTGCAACATTATACAGAAGTCAAATTTGGAAATGGCCTTTAAAGCTCAAAACTCCAAGAAACATGGTGGTGACATGGTGAAACTAGTGACTTTACATTGCATTTGGACGTGTGTAGACACTTGTGACTGTCGTGAATAAACAATCTGAGTGGAGCGACAGAAAAGGAAAACTATTAACTATTTTGATAATTAACATTTTCAAGCAAAAATGTCAAACATTCTCTTTTTCAAGCTTCTCAAATATGAAGATTTTTAAATAATTATAAACTGAATATCTTTGTTTTGGACAGTTGGTCAGACAAAACTTGAAGGTGTCACATTGTGAGTGGTACATTTTTCCAATATCATCCAACATTTTTTATACCAAATGGTTAAATGACTAAAAATAACAGATTAATGCACTTTGAAAATAACTTGCAGTCCTATTTGTTACGGATAAAAAGCTAAGCATCATCAGCATCTGGCATCAGACACACTGAGCCTGTTTATTCCTTGTATCAAAGTGTGTCTTGGACTATTTAATCACAAATGGACATTGCTTAATACTAAACGACCCCCAAGGCGCATTGTAATCCGCTCACGCAAATCACTTGCTGAGGTGGTCTGGGACAAATCTATCCATGTCTTTTGTAGTGGAAATGCGTCCTGACGCGTCTCCGAAAAGGATGCTGGACATGGTGGTCATATTGGTGACACAATGAACGCGATGTGTCTTGGCTGTCCACTTGTATTCGGATCACTGAAACAAATATTAATACTCACTGACTTTGTAGATTAAAGTTGAAAGTGGAGCCTTTTGGGATCTGGAGGCTTTAAAATTGAGAGTTGGCTCTGAAATTTGGGATTTCCAGTTTTCCTGGAACACATCAATGTGTCCAGTTTTGCTTGTAACAACATTACGACACAATGGAAAAGAAAATATCAAAGGTAACTGACTGTTGGAATACCAATATGAAGCAACTTTCAATGTGTAAATTGGATTTTCTTAACAGAGTGAAATAAAGATGGCTGACTCGTGACATAAACTCTGCCTGATTTGTCATCAATGGACCAAAACATGCAAAACCACCAGTGCATTATTTTCAGAAACAAAAATCCTTTTAACCAACAATCTCACTCCTCTGGGTCTGTTTCTGTCTGTCTAACACTCAGGACGGTCGGAATGGGGTGAAAATAAACACAGAGAGGATCGACATCTGGGTCTCATATGGTGACTCAGCACGTGAGGTCAGGAATAAAGTCGGAATCTAGCCGACATTTACACACCGTCTTCTTGTGGTCGGGAGCTTCCTGCTGCCTCCCTGCCGGCCCTGTCATTAACTCACAGTTTCTGGATGAGAATAACACTTTTGAAAATCTCACAGGAGGATCCACATCTGAAGTAGCTGGTTGTGTTATGAGCCTTTAACATTTCCAACTCCGACAGACCAAATTAAAAAAAAAAAAAAAAACTGTAAGCACATCGTTTAACAGCACTCTAACAGGGCAGATTGTGTCCTACTATCCATGGAATGAAAGAAAGCAAAATAGAGGCAGCCCCTTTCCCTATTAAAAAAAAAAAAAAAAAAAAAGTCATCTACTTAGTCTGAGTGCAGTGCAACACTAGATCTGGTGGGATTCACGTAGTGTTTAGTCATTAATATCCGTTCTCTGAGGCAGTGGTGGATGTGTCTGTACAGTATTTACACTCCTGAATGCAAACACAAAGAGTTCAAATCATACAAGGGGATCATTTCCAAATCGCTGTGTGAGCATGTCGAGGGAAGGAACTTCCCTGAAAATTGTGCATTTAACGTAGGGGGAAAATAATCTGAATTTCCATTAAATGATTAAAGTCTTCAGGCGAGGTTGGACGCAGACGAGCGGGGAGGAGAAGAGGCAGAGCGCAGTCTGAAAATTAATGAAATTACATGAAGCGACAGTGATTTTTGTGGTCGAGACTCATCTTCATATTCTGAGTTCAACTCAGCAAGCTGAAGTTAAAACGGGGGACAAAAGACACTGAACCACATGCTGCAAATTTTGGCTGTGGCTCATTGGTTTAGCCTCAACTGCCACTTAAACACAAAACAAAATGGACTGTTTGGCTTCTTAAATATCACACTGAAAACCTTCCTTGCCAACTTGTGATTATGTCAAGTCATTTTGTCATTAATTCAGTCTGAAATCAAGTTTTTTAAAAGCCACTATGTGTAAGATTTGAACACGTATGACTCCGGTATCCTCCAAAATAAACGCCTCAGCTTACATCAGAGGAGATTACACATTCTCTCTGTCTTTGTTTCATCTCTCTGATTCAGTTCAGCAAGTTACTGATTGACTAATCGGACACTATGTTCGCTTTGCAGTAATAAAGCAGAGCAGCGTTTCGTCATGTTCTTCTGAGATTTTACAGGCTGGGAAGAGTTCAGACTAACGACCCAATCAGCAACAATCAGCTGCTGCTGGGATAAAAAACCTCCCTGCTGCTCTGCAGGTCAAACACCATCCTGAAGTCAAGTTTGATAATCACCTAGTTGGACACAGGTGAAGTCAGTTTAAAGTTTAAAGTTTAAAGGGGCGCTACTCAGCCAGAACGACTCGTGACACGGCTCTGAGTGTCTATGTTTTTATTCTAAAGTTTGTGTTTCCAGCTGCACTCGTATCATCAATGGCTGTGATCAGACAGGGACGCAAAGTCAGACAGAAGAGAACAAAACTGAGTCTGATGATCCGGATAGACTAACATGTACATCCACTCACAGATCACATGGAGATCACATGGACATGGAGATGAGCAGCATCTTTCATGGGGATCCTTTTTAACAAACTTATAAAATCGTACACATAGTGGTTTTAATTTAAGTGAGACAGAAATCTTTTTTTAAGTATTCTTCTGTTGGGAAGTCTTAAAGGAACACATCACCCAAAGAGTTTCGTATTAACTATTCACATATTAGAGTACCATACGATCCCTCCCTCACATTCATAGAAAACTGAGCTTCAACCAGTGGACAAAGTTTTGTGTAAGTTCATTAAAGACTCACAGAAACATGATATCAAGCCACTTGTTTATCAAACTAACATACTTATAGTCTTCAGAGATCCTGTTTGGTTTTGAACATTTTTACCTGATTGGAATTTAGATTAAAATTACTGTATTTAAAACACTTTAACATTAAATTCTTGACTTGTCTTAAAACAGACTTAAAGAATGCAAGAAACAACCAATCACAGCTGGCCGATATCTTTCCTTTCTATGGTAAATATCAGTCGATGGTAACTATGGAGAAGAAGCTCATCATTTTAGTGCGGGGCTACCCAGAGCTTTACATCTGTCCCACGTACAACACTTTAGGCCTAATACACAAAGCAAAGCGACGCCTGGAAGAAGATCAGCTCTGCACTCAGGATTTCAGGTAAGTGGGCTATGAGACAGTCAAACGAAACGTCAAGTGCAGCCTGCCTCAGTTGGCACAGTGTAGGCACAGCCCAGCACCAACTTCGTGTTTTCCTGGCAGTTGAAGACATGGCATGTGTGCTGGCCCTTATTGGAGAAGGCAGGCAGGTTAGGGAGGCCAAATTGTGTATTTTTCTTATTGTCAACAAATCCCATGAAAAACCAACCACGTGTTAGTGTGTTTCTCACTGCTTCCTGACATAACATGTCTGGGGCTCTCCAAGCCCCAAACCCAATGGCTCCTTCTGAAGACTGATCTTTAATAGCTGGGCACTGTAGTCTTAAGCATGGTCTCTCAACAAGGAATAAATACTCCCAGTGTTGGGGACTATTTTCAGCGGCCGATTAATCCACATTTGGTGCTCTAGTAGTGTCTGTGGTAGCAGGATGGTGAATGTGGGATCAAGTCACAATAAACTAGAGTGTGTGTGCTCAGGATGAATGAAGGAACATGTCACCCAGCGGCTCACTGATGTGGTTTCAATAGTTTTTGTTGGATTTGTTGACAAAAAGAAAAGTAGAAATATCACCAAACTTATGCTTAAAACTCACAACCGAAACAATAATTTTCTATACTCAAAAAATTTGTTACATTGAGATCCCAAAATCACTTTCTTGTACTCACTAGAAAACATCATCTTGTGGACATTGCTTGATTCTGTTTAAAGAGATGTGAGCACAAACCTTTCTTCGTCAAACATTTTGGGGAGTAACTGATTAGAAAACAGAAAATCTGGGGTGACGTGTTCCTTTAAAAGTCTCCATGCCCTCTCATCCTCACCCCTCTGGAGCAAAGGCTCCACCACAGATGGTCCAGCTGACTTCAGTGTAGTGATGTGAGCGTGAAGCGGCGCTGAAGCAGGATGTAAACAGGAGGGAGGGTAGGAAGCTCCCTTTTTCCATAAAGACGCTTCTGTAAACAGACGAGGCGTCATCCTCTCTGCTCAAGTTCAATCACACAAGTCTCCCGTCGGTGTCTGACTCCGACTCTGTCCTGTTGGCATCGAATTTAACAGCGGAGAGTAAAATTCAAAAATGCCCTCGAGTTCCTCTCCAGTGTTTTTTCCGTAACGAAAAGAGAGACAGAGGAATTAAAAACTTGGCTGATTTCAAATGTCTCTGTCTCTCTCTGTGTTTCTCTCACTCAGTCTGACAGCAGACAGAAAGACTGAAGGAAAACTACTTGATTCTGTTTCCAACCTTCTCCCTCTGTCAGTCTGTCCCTCTTCTCTCTGTGTCCGTGTCTTGATCTGTGTTGCACCGTGGAGGCCAGCGGGGGGCGCTGTTAGGAGGCCTTGCCCAGCTCTATCTTCTTCTGGATGACCCGGGCCGAGTGGTAGATGAGCGAGTCGATCAGACCGGCCACTGCAGGAGACGAGAAACAGAAATAACAGAAGAGAGTCAGATTTCGTCTGCTCCATTTAAATATCTATTCATATTAACGTTTCAGTCTGTGGTGTATTATCAGGTAACACATGGAGGGACTGACCTGTAAATACACCTCCAATAATGGCACAAACTCCTGTTAAGAAGTGTGTGAATGATCTGAACAGAGAGAGAGAGAGAGAGAGAGAGAGAGAGAGAGAGAGAGAATATTAATGTGCAATGAGATTTAAAGAAGCTCTTTTTTTATTAATATAACTGCTTTTTCCTCAGTGTTTTCAACCTGAACCATATTTTCCCATGTTTTTCAGGCTTTGTTTTTTCTTACCTGTGTTTCTCTGTGAATTTAACCATCATGGGTGACAGCTCATATAAGACAAACACGCCCGGCAGGCCCTGGTCTCCTATTAACCCGTTGGCCACTTTCTCGTGTCTGGTGACTGAGAACTGGTTTGTTTTTACCACCTGCAACAACAAAATGACAAGAAGACACTGTTAAGAAAGATGAAAGGTCAACTGTAGCCTGGCATGGCTTTAATCAAAGATTAGATTCAATGTTGTAAAAGAAACACGTGAAGCGATAAATGACTTTTTGCTTCATGGTACATGACATGTTTTTAAGTCTCATCCAAATGCTGAAGGTCGACTAAAAGATTATGTTTCTGTGTACAGCATTGTAAACCAATGAAATGCAACACTTTCTTTCTCAGTGTGCCTCTTTAACATCTCTCTGGTTTTACCAGTCTTGTAGGTTTAGTATAGTTTGGAGTAAAAAAAAAAAAGAGGAATTTTAGTGAACAAATGTAAAATGAACTCACCTCTCCATCAGTTTTCACGTAGATGGTCGGAACAATTTTCACAAAATACTGGTACATCATTGATGCTGTGGGGAGAGAGAGGAAATCTTGTTAAACTAAACTACACACAAAAGGCCCGGCAGGAAATAATAAAAACAATTTCAAACATCACAGAACAGACCAGAATAAAATTACGATTTTAAGTAAGAATATGGACGATAAGGATTGTTTAAGCAGTGACGTGTGTCAATACAACATAAACCAATGTGCGGTTTATTCTACTCTACTTTAATAAAACAGAAGACCGGCAATTCTTGGGATCAGCACCAGCTGTCTGATAAAAGCAGAGATGGATGAAGGACCTGAGAGACACTCTTGAGTATAAGTGCAGATATCTCACCAGAAAATAACTCTGGCAGAAGTTAAACTCATCTGTTAGAATATTACTTGAAAACACTTTAAGATTTTCCTTAAAATCCTAGTTAAGGTTTCCTCAAAATAAAATCAGTTGCAAAAAACACCCTTATGTCTTCTCCTTATACTTAAGGAATCCCTTGACTGTTGCACAAAAGACCTTAGCAACCAAAGCAGGGGAAAAAAATACAAAGGGTGTCTTTGACTCTGTCTTAACCGCCACATGACCGACTTTATGGTGATAAATGAAAAAACTAACACACCCCAAGATGAGTGTTCTGCGATCAGGAGAACCAGATGGATACACTTCTGATGTCACACCATAGATTTGACTGAATTAATCTTCATTGCAATTTCTCCGCACAATTGTTTTCAGGTATTTGGTGATCAAATGTATGTGCTTTCTATGATAGCATTCCTCCAGAAGTTTAATCTTTTCCCCCTCTGACCAATATGGTTTATTTGTCTTCTGTTCTTCTGCCATTTTTTCACTATCTAACTATAAGTCAACTTTGTGAGACAATAACAGGGGTCACAACCGTGAGTCCAAGCAAACAAACAATCTCCATGGGAACTTTTAACGCTGTAAACTGTCTTTCAACGCAGTAAATGGGTTAACATTTTCCCTTATGCAAGGAAACTGTTTAAGGGATTCTGTGCAACTGTGCAAGTCTCTCAGCTGAGGAGAAATTAAGCCTTAAGTGTCATACTTCAGGAGAAAACTTAGGTGTTTTGCGCAACCGGTCCCTGATATTCACTGTACATAAGCACAAAAGTGATTTTATTATATCAAATATACTTTAGTATTCAACGCAAAAGTCGGTCTGATTTTAGAGTTTAAGTTTATTTCTTTGTAACATGTACACCAGCAGATTACATGGTAGCCTTAAAAACAAGAACAAGTCAAGTTGTGCTGTAAGATCACTGGTGTTATTTTTAATAACCTACAGCATCTGTATGAAGCTGAGTTAATTATCTCGGACTCTCAATACCCCCTCCATGTTGAGTTATGCTTCTATCAGAGCGGAGGTTTTGCCTCCTTAAATGTAGCACTAAGCGTTACAGGTCATCCTTTGTAGCGTCTGCTACCCCTTATCTTAACCAGCACTGACCACTAATGTCCATGATTTACCCCCTGCAGTGTGTGATACTGGATTCTGTGTGTTTGTATTGTACTGTCTGTTCCGTTGTCTGTATCTCAAATGGCGCCTCAGGGACATTAAAGTTTAACTTTACCTTACCTCACCTTACCTTACAAATTTAGCCCACATTACACTTTAAGGAAATTTAGTTTTTTTTTCACAACTTAAAGGATTTAAAAAACAAAATTCAGTTTTTCCTTCCCTCTCATTCCTTCATTCATCTGTCCATCCCTTCCTCCTTCCTTGCATCCTTCCCTATTTTGTAGTAAGTAACTAAGATATTTAAGGGAAATGTCGTGGAGTAAAACTGAAAATTGACTGAAACATAAAAACACAAGTAGAGTTACTACCGGAAGTACTATTACTTTGTTCTCTTTTATGGTAAAAAATAAATAAATAAATAAATAATCTAGTAGTAGTAATGAACTCAGCCACATGTCGGCGCTGTTTCTTTTCCACTTCCTCCTCCTGGTTGTTCCTCCTCTTCATTTGCCTCTTCTGTCTCTATCCGGTTATGGAGGTCTGCTACAAAGACATTTAAACGCAGCTGCGCTCCAAACTACGATAATCTTCCATTTAGGAACCAGGAAACCAAAGTTATTTTAAACACATAATTCAAGGTAAGGTCCGTTTCTGACTCAGTGTCGTGAATGCGTTGATGTAAAGACTCAGTCTGTGGGTGAAAACGTGCCGTGTTTATCTGTCAAGGCCACAGGTGGCGTTAGCCTGCTAGTTAGCATGCTAAGCTAACACAACAAACCACCTGGAGGGATAAAGAGTGACTTTTAAAGAATTGATGTTTTTATATGGTGGTGTTTGATCACCGTTTAAAGACTGCAGCGAAACAGCCCGCTGGTTATTTCTTCTTTAACGTTACGTCAACACCGGTGTGGTTGCTAACGTTAGCCTAGCTTACGTGCTAATTAAATAACTGACTAATCTAACGTCTCAGGCTTAGCTTAATCATTAACCAGCAGCTTAACTACCAAATGTCTTTGGTTAAGATTATGTTAGTAGCTTGGGTTGGATTTTCAGCTGAGTAATAGTTATGTGGCAGGAACTGATTTATACTGTATAGATAAATAATGTGTAACTAACAACCAAGGGACAAAGGTCAAATGCAGGGTTGGAGATGGGTACAAGCCACCAGCCAAATGCTGTTTAAATATGCAAGTGGCTGCTGGAGTTGCATCACTCATCAGCCAAAATAAAGGTCGTATTTTGAGTGGCTGCTAAATCCACCAGTCACAATGTCAGACATGTCACACATCTGTACTATTTCCAAGCAGTAACATTACGTAATGTGTCCACACTGGCAAGAAGACAAGTAAGGGAGTGTTTGTTATTTATAAGGGTGGCGCAAACACGGACATGTCACATATTTTTTAAAGTACTTGAGAGGGACTGTGGTTTTTTTTTTTCTTGGCATAGTGGGGCAGCATACAAATTTAAACAGTTGTATTTTGTATTTATTTTACTGCCAATCTTTAAAGAGAACAAGTATTGTTTTCCACGTGTGGATTCGCAAGCCATGTTTTCTTTAAAATCGTCAAAATTACACCATGTATCACAGTCAGAAACTGTTGAAATCAAAAATATCTCTATTTTAAAATTTTCGACAGTCCTTGAACACATCATGTGCAACGAGCACTTCTGTCTGAAAAAAAAATCTGAGCTTTAATAATAAGATTTCATCAAAATCACTTTACTCTACGTCTTCTACGTTTAAAAATGTGGCCCTAAATAAACTGTTTGCATGAACTAAGAAGCAAGCACGACGACAGTGGAAAAAACAAGTTGTTGCAGGATTTTGTCTTTAACTTTGTCATTAAATGGTAAGTTTGAAAAATCTAATAACTAATTTACAGGGTAGGGACGGTCGTGCATTTTCCACCAGTCACTCAGGGAGGCTTAAGGAAAATTATTTGTGGCTTCAGGGAAGGTCAAAAAACAAATAGTCACACCCAGCCACCCCACTCCTCTGATAAGTAAAGATAAATCCCTAATAGCAAAAAAAACATGGGAGTCAAAATAATAAAAAAAATCAGGTGCTCTTTAAGGATAGGGCAAGTAGTCAAATGAGAATAAAAAAGAACTACTGTCCAGCTCACAGAAGTCCATGGTATAGGTTGACAGTCTGAAAAGTATTTGAGGCACTCTGATCCTAAGTAAAAATCTTTTATTAATTAATACATTTTTATTTACAGTCAGAGTGCCTTGGTTGCTTTCCAGACTGCCAATACACCATGGACTTAAACATTAAGTCGAAATGTCAGTATGCTTATTAAAAATGTCTGATTTGAGTGTCAGGAAACACTGGCAGCTTAAAGGTGGAAATATTAAAACTTATTGCCGGTGGTATTAAAAGAAAAGCTCCAGAAAACTAAAAATAACTCTTACTTTTAAAAAGTTGACTGTGTTTTTTTATACACTAACTACAGAACAGTATAGAAAGCTTTTCTCCTCTTCCATGCTCTGTTTACTGATGGACCAACTGACATTAACATCCTAAGAGACCCCGAGGCAAATATGAGCTGCTGAGTCCTTATTAACTCCCCTTTGTAGCTTTTCTGTGTATTCATATGCTGTGATATTACCAGGCCTCATGTTTCATGTGTGATAATTTGATTAAACACACATTATTTAAGGAATATGTACTGTAATTATGAAGGTCTTTCAGCTGGACACTGACATCTGGCCTCAAGATCAATCATGACGGCTAATATTATACGTTAGCAGGGGAAATCTGGAGCAGACCGAGTATTGGTTTGCTGAAGCAACATTAATTACTGCTTCTGTGAGATGTTTTTGTTGTCCTCTGGTGATGAAACTACAGCATAAATTACTAAATCAGGGGACTGGACAATGCTTCTTTACAGTCACAGTGTTGTGCCACGTTAACAGACTGGATCGGGATGTGGTCTAGCTCAGCACGTCCAGTTTGGGAACCTTTAGATATGTTCAGTATTTTGTTCCCCATACTATCAGATCATACTGTATGTCACTGCTGATCCATCTGTCTCACTTCTACCCTGTCTTCTGCCTTTCTCTCCTCTCCAGATGCCCGTGGCTGTAGGTCCATATGGCCAGACCCAGCCCAGCTGTTTCGACAGGGTCAAGATGGGCTTCATGATGGGGTTTGCAGTAGGAATGGCTGCTGGAGCCATGTTTGGCACTTTTTCCTGTCTCAGGTAACTATGAAGTGTGCACCCAAATTATTCTGCCTTTATAGAAACAGCAACTGCATATGTGGTGAAACTGAGTATGTGGACTTGGTTGCTATCAAATGACACCCTGCAAACAGTGGGAAAAGAATATTAGCATCAGTAGTTGATGCTAACTGACAGTATTGAGATTAAACTTTGTATTTCTAACAAAGTAATAGAGTTAATGGTTCTGAGAGTAATTAATTAATATTAAAACAATTGGACACACGTCTGGCTTGCTGTCCACATCTCAGATTGTTTTATCAGTAGCTCAAAAGATCTGGCGTTGTGCTGTTTCCCTGGTTTTTATTAACAAAAACTAAAACTGACAAAACATGAACAATAATTAAAACTAAATCTGTCTCTTCTATCTCAAGGATCGGCATGCGGGGCAGGGAGCTGATGGGAGGAGTGGGGAAGACCATGATGCAGAGCGGGGGAACGTTCGGCACCTTTATGGCCATCGGTATGGGCATCCGCTGCTGAGGCGGACGAGGAGCAACATCCTTCTCCACCTCTATGCAATTACACAGCTATGGGACTTCTCAAGTAACTACAAGTTCGGCTTTCTGTCTGTTCAATGCTGTCACGCTCTCAACCGCAGTCTAGTTTTGTCAATTAAAGTTCAGTTTTGTCGAGTGGTTTTCAGAGTGGATTTATTACACTTCCTGATGCTGTCAAGACGATGATTCGGGATGTCACAACAACCAATACTTTGGTATGAAGATGATGTCAAAATTCTGGAAACATGATGGTATAGCATGGAGGAACAGCAGCAACAAGTGGAGGACGCTGACAAGCGCAGCTGCAGCGACAGCTCCACCTTGGCGTGTCAAAAAGAAATGCATTTTTCCCGAGGCCAGCGTATTTAGTTTATTCTTTTTAATGCTAGTGCTGTATATTTACAGTACAGGCCAAAAGTTTGGACACACCTTCTCATTCAATGCGTTTTCTTTATTTTCATGATTATTTACATTGTAGATTCTCACTGAAGGCATCAAAACTAGGAATGAACACATGTGGAGTTATGTACTTAACAAAAAAAGGTGAAATAACTGAAAACATGTTTTATATTCTAGTTTCTTCAAAATAGCCACCCTTTGCTCTGATTACTGCTTTGCACACTCTTGGCATTCTCTCCATGAGCTTCAAGAGGTAGTCACCTGAAATGGTTTTCCAACAGTCTTGAAGGAGTTCCCAGAGGTGTTTAGCACTTGTTGGCCCCTTTGCCTTCACTCTGCGGTCCAGCTCACCCCAAACCATCTCGATTGGGTTCAGGTCCGGTGACTGTGGAGGCCAGGTCATCTGCCGCAGCACTCCATCACTCTCCTTCTTGGTCAAATAGCCCTTACACAGCCTGGAGGTGTGTTTGGGGTCATTGTCCTGTTGAAAAATAAATGATCGTCCAACTAAACGCAAACCGGATGGGATGGCATGTCGCTGCAGGATGCTGTGGTAGCCATGCTGGTTCAGTGTGCCTTCAATTTTGAATAAATCCCCAACAGTGTCACCAGCAAAACACCCCCACACCATCACACCTCCTCCTCCATGCTTCACAGTGGGAACCAGGCATGTGGAATCCATCCGTTCACCTTTTCTGCGTCTCACAAAGACACGGCGGTTGGAACCAAAGATCTCAAATTTGGACTCATCAGACCAAAGCACAGATTTCCACTGGTCTAATGTCCATTCCTTGTGTTTCTTGGCCCAAACAAATCTCTTCTGCTTGTTGCCTCTCCTTAGCAGTGGTTTCCTAGCAGCTATTTGACCATGAAGGCCTGATTCGCGCAGTCTCCTCTTAACAGTTGTTCTAGAGATGGGTCTGCTGCTAGAACTCTGTGTGGCATTCATCTGGTCTCTGATCTGAGCTGCTGTTAACTTGCCATTTCTGAGGCTGGTGACTCGGATGAACTTATCCTCAGAAGCAGAGGTGACTCTTGGTCTTCCTTTCCTGGGTCGGTCCTCATGTGTGCCAGTTTCGTTGTAGCGCTTGATGGTTTTTGCGACTCCACTTGGGGACACATTTAAAGTTTTTGCAATTTTCCGGACTGACTGACCTTCATTTCTTAAAGTAATGATGGCCACTGGTTTTTCTTTAGTTAGCTGATTGGTTCTTGCCATAATATGAATTTTAACAGTTGTCCAATAGGGCTGTCGGCTGTGTATTAACCTGACTTCTGCACAACACAACTGATGGTCCCAACCCCATTGATAAAGCAAGAAATTCCACTAATTAACCCTGATAAGGCACACCTGTGAAGTGGAAACCATTTCAGGTGACTACCTCTTGAAGCTCATGGAGAGAATGCCAAGAGTGTGCAAAGCAGTAATCAGAGCAAAGGGTGGCTATTTTGAAGAAACTAGAATATAAAACATGTTTTCAGTTATTTCACCTTTTTTTGTTAAGTACATAACTCCACGTGTTCATTCCTAGTTTTGATGCCTTCAGTGAGAATCTACAATGTAAATAGTCATGAAAATAAAGAAAACGCATTGAATGAGAAGGTGTGTCCAAACTTTTGGCCTGTACTGTACACTCTGCTACAAATGCCAGCAGCATGATGAGTGCTGTTCGTTTGGCTTTTTTTTCTGTTCGAAAAAATGTACAACTTTGAGTAAAACGCTGTGCTCTTCACTGTCACTTTAAATCCAGCCATCCAATCAGAGAGGGGGAGAAATATGTTAATATACTGTACGCTGTAGGCTAAAATGTTTTTAAGAAATCAGTGTATGGTGAAGTACACTTGATTTATTATTTTGTTTGAATTTCACTGGTATTTCTATCAACCAGTAAATATCTGGTATTACAACATGTCTAACCATGATGCAAAACAACACACTTTATCCTGAAGGAAATTTGCAGCACACCTTTTCTCTGCTAAGTTTGTCAAATTCTCCGTCACTACATTGGTTTCATCCTGTGTTTCCTTTCTCTGCTTGTTGTACATGAGTGCAAAATGCAGTATTAGAAAGAAGCTCTCACTCTCTGAGGTTCTGACAAGAAAACCTTAAGTTTAGTCCAAATGTTTGAAAATGGCTGAGTTTGAACACCGAGCTTTGGCGTTATACCTCTGTTTATCCTGCCTGTCTAGCCAGTATCATACTGACAACAGTCCAACCATGAAATCACTGACCTTGAGGCGCTGTGACATCTGTCTCGTCCAGAGGGTTAACGATGCCGGGGTAATCTTTACCAAACGACAGGTGTTTGATAAGATGGGTCATGTTTATCTGCAGTACGACAGATGGGAGGATTAGACGTTTACAGAAGACCTTTATAGTTGATAACAAGTATGTCTTCCATTAATTCCCAGCTACACTTGGTGAAAGATAACAGTGTCAGGTCCTCAAACACAAAATAATAAGGGAAGTGTAATGTGAACTGTATTGCATCACTGTATTTTGACTATTACCTGACTGTCAACTCAAGATTTTGGTCATGATTTTTCTAAAATTATACAAACTGCCAACAGGAAAAATTAGCACACAAAATAATGAGTAGTAAGCAAAGAAAAAACATATCGGTTGCGGTACATTTTTCAAAAATATTAGTTTGCAGAAACTTTGAACAGATACAGAAAATATAATCGCTCGAGTTACTCACGTTGTCCAAGCCGAAACTCTGCAGGTCGTGAACTGCAAACACAAACAGAACACGTCATATAGCTTAACTTGTAAATTACACACTTTAAATACACATTTAGCACAGAGTAAAGTTACTCATCTGTCAGAAATGTGAGTTATTGATCATTTTGGATTGATTAGTGCCCATTGATTCAGCCGCTTAATAGATGAAAGGCAGCGAATAAAGCTGAAGCCCACAGTCACACACAGGGTGATGTCATAGTCGCTGTGTGTCACATCTGGTCTCAGGGTGCTGAGGCTCTGACCTTTGACCTCCTGATTGTGTTAGTGAACATTTTAATCTCTTACATACAGTAAGAACAACCTCAGCATGCTGCCACTTCATGTGGGAGTTATGCCTGTTCACATAACAGTGGCAGTGTTTAAGTATGTTAGCTGTGTGAGTAGGTGTTATTGTCTTTATCTGTCGCCACTGTATCTGAAATCTGATTGGCTGCAGCTTTACACTGCACAACCCTGACCAGGCTTACCCCACAAAACTTATATCAAATATGTTAATAAAAATATTAAAAACTAAAGGAGTTCACATCTGATGTCAGACTTAATATGTATGCATATTAAAAAGACGTTCACAGGGCTCGTCTAAGCGCGCACTGCTACGTCCTGCAAAACCGCAGCCATGCTGCCGAAATACTAATTTTTAGGGAGTCTGCAACTGAGACAGTGGATTTCTTTGCCAAGAATTACTGTTCTGGTATTGTGAACTTGACTAGTGCACACCACTGTCCAAACTATGAATGAATGACACCATCAAAAGCTGAAGCTCAAGACACCTGCAGGATGAGAAAGTCCATCTTCAGTATATCAGCATCATAACTGGAAAGAGCCCTTGGCAAATATAAGTTCTTGGTCAAAACGTGCTGATACCAAAGTAATATTTAGATACTTATATGGTTTTAAAGTAACTTTTTGTCGTATTTGCTGAAACTGTCACTATATCCACACAGTAGTACACGACAAGGAGTCTGTAACACGACTGTCAATCATGTCAGTCACTGCTCATGAACTGCGGTCAAACTGTCAAACTATGAATCAAGATTCTGTTACTGCATTGCCTTTTTCTTGCCTCAAATGTTTTTAGGTGCACATGGGATGAGCTGCGTCTTCATAAACTGTCCTGTTAGTCTTCAGTCTAACAGGATTCAGACTGAAATCTAAAAAAAAAAATATGTGTATTTTATAAGTTGCAGGGCTGTACAGACAGAGAGAAAATGTGCACAGGGTACAAATAGTGCAGAGTGCAGATATATCCTTTACCTTCAAACACTCCATCCCAGTGTCTGTGTTCAGACACTGGGACGGAGTTCATTGTTCATTGACTCACTGTATGTATGAGTACAAGCATTTGTTTGAGACTATACTTAATAGTGCTTGCTATTAGACTTGTAATGATGTAGGTTTAATCAAGCTGCTGATGACTGACCAGGTGCACCTGTAAGAGTGACCTATGTATGTGGTGAACCAGTATGGATGCCTCATTCTGCACTGAGGAAAGTCCATAGTCTGTTTGTGCCACTCAGCAATATGTAAAATAGAGATTTTTGAAATCCAGACTTCACTCAGATGTTTTTAGAAACATATTTTAGTAGCTGTACAATGAGAAAGATTGTGACCCGGCTACCATGTTGCAAACAGCAGAGCCAAAACAAAGCACCGCCCACCAGCTGGAGCAAACTTTTTTATGTTACAGCTAAACAGATTCATATTCGATCAGCGCTGCCTAGTTTGACAGTTTGAACGCAGTTCACAAGCACTGCTGCGTTAGCCTCAGCTCTGATTGGTTGTTTTCCTTCAGATCATGTTTTTTTTCACAGGTATGTCTCATGTACTACTGTCTGAATATCTGAGATAGTTTCAGAAAATATGACAAAAAGTTATGTTTTATAAAACATAGTAGTTTTAAAATGTACACAATAGAACTGTACATTTAACAACTGAGCAGACACTATGTCTTCTGACTTGTAAACTGGATTCTATACAACGAATATCATCCTGCATTAACTTAAACCTTTCATATTACAAAATAGTTGTATACCTGCAATACTTCTTTTCAATATTTCAACAGACAGGTTACTGTACAGGTGTGAGGCTTTGCTTCAATGAAGTTTATATGTATTTATACGATTTAAAAAAAAACTTCAAATAAAGTTGGACTTACTTTCCACAGCGTGCACTGCAGAAAGAAGAGAGAAGAGTCACTATGATGATGCAGGTAGACAATAAACCATGTGATGTTAATGTGTATGAGGGTGCCAGTAGGAGCTGCTTTTATACTATATCTTTTTACAAATCTAATTTTATTAGGACATGAACAGTGATGCATGAAGACAGCTTTTAAAACTTACCTCAAGCTTTTGAGTTCTTGATTTGGTTGTTTTCAAAGTATTAAAAGCTCCAAAACACAAAGTGATTTTGAAGCTGGAGATTTTACAGAACAGCAGCATATCTCATTGAGGAGGATTTGATTTTTTTTTTTCTGTGCTAAAGAAAATGAGCTTTAGAAAATCATTTTAAAGCTTCTGTCAGAGTGACAGTGCAGCCCCACACACACACACACACACACACACACACTGCGCAGTGTTTCACAGTTTAAGGTCAGAATGAGGGCGAAGCTGATTTATTTCAGCCACAGCCTCGTTTACAGTCAAATCCTCAGCACAAGTGATTCTTGTCTCTTGTTTCTGCTGCCAAGCATTCAAATATAACACCCAACGCAATTAGATCAACACATTTAACCAGATTAATCATCTTATAGTGCAGAGATCAGGGGAAGCTGTTGTGTTCAGAGCAGGAAACTAACAGTGGAGCTCAGATTTTAGCCACTTGCACTTCATCAACCCACCAGATTTTCATCACAGCACAGTATTTTCAGTTGTCCAGATTAGAAGCAGCACATAAATTGTGGCGCTTTTCCTACTGAAGTGGCTGCTAACAAAGATTTATGTGAGCATGTGACGGCTGGCGACTGTTAATTTCCTTCTCTGGTTTTGTGCAGATGATGAAAACTATCAGCAGGCAGGTAAAACAGTGCAGTTCAGTCAAGATAACAACAACGATCAAAACTGACACATTATGACGGCAGAACAAATGTCAACAACAGCAGCAAAGGGAGGGAATGAATTAAAAAATGATCAGTTTTGTTCCAGGGTTGAGTTACAAAGCTCCAGTACTGCCTTAATGATGTCTCTAAGGCTTTTGACTCTCGGCAGGGAAATAAATCTGGACACAAACACTGAACTGGCTTTAAAATGATCACATTTACCCTTAGAGAATGTAACAGCTATACATATAACAGCTAGCTGAGATTATGTCTGAGAGTGAGTTTGAATCTGATATGTTTGAAAAATGCCGAGCAAGTAGGGAAAGATTTTTTTTAATTAATTTTTAATTATTATCCTCGAAAACTGTAAATTTTTTTTACATTTTATTTATGAAAATGTGTGGGAACCCTGCTTAGTCATTTATTTTTAAAACAAAATGAAAAATTAATTCTCTGATGACGATCATAAGATGCAGCTTAAACCTAAAAACATCTTATAAATGGACTTTGAGCCAAAATGATTTTGTCGTCTATTAATTTTTCATTCAAGTTTCTTGCCTGCAGAACACATGAAACCTTTTCAAAATCCAAGATCAAGACTTTTGAAACTAACCTTTGTTTAAATTTAATAAAAAAAAAAAACCCACTAAAACCTGCAGCAAACATAGATGATGAATTACATTATCCTTTTAAAAAACTTGTGACTCAACTGGAACTTGAGTACTGATGACTAAGACTTAAAAAAACTTAGACATCTGCTCCAAAACATTTTTCTACTTGCTTAAAACTGAACCGGATCACCTGGGGAATTAAAAATAAGATGTCCAACGTGTTAAGAGAAGGTTTTAGATTCATATTTCCTGAAGGAGGTGGAGAAAAATCCTCCACCTCATAACTCATGTCAGAGTGACGGCTATCGCTGTCCAATGCTAATGGACAGTGATAGCAATCTGGTTGCCACGGTAACAAATTACACCTAACTATTAACAACACCCACATTCTCCATTTGAGAGAGAACGTTGCCTGAAAAACAGGAAGTAACCCTGGCTGGAGCAGCGTGACGACCCTGCACTACTGCGCCTGACGTCCGGTCGAATTTCTTCCTAATAGTTGTGTTGAGCGACTTCACCGATAAAAGGTTCAGACAAAGACTGAAATCTTTCCATTTAGGGACTTACTGCAGATTCTTAGATCCACACAGGTCTCTAAAATCTGTGTTTTTTAAAAGAGCTAACATGTCAGCCGTTATAAGTTAGAAACATGTAGAACAAATGTCCAGTGTAAATCGTCTGCAACAAGAAACTCACACATGATGTTTAAAATCATTTAAATGCTTCTGTGAGTGTGTGTGTGTGAGCAGAGTGGATGAACAGCAGGTCTTACCGTGGACATGAGACTGCTGGAAACTTTTACCAGGAGCAAAGTGGAAATTTCCTGCCACCTGAGACACAAAGAGGAAGAAAGAGAATTGCCAAATCAATACAGTAGAGCCACTGTCAGGAAAGAAGGAAACAAGGAATGTTAATAAGTCAAAGGGTTGGGGGAAAACCAATAGAGCATAGTATTGCAATATTTATATCGTCACTCAGTGCCAAGTATCAATTTTTTATTATAATAATACAATCAACTGCTTTTTCAGTCCGAATTTTGCTGCTGCAAAAAAATGGCTGAGGTGAGATGAACACAATGAAAACTTCATCTTATTAGATAAAACAGACGTTGACAAAGTTTTCCTTTGGGAACATAATTTACAGTTGAAAAAAGGTAATAATTTGCTCAATATTTTATCGCAATACTCAGCATATCGTAACATATTTAAAACCGCAATAATATTGTATCGTGATAAAATCATATTGTGGATCATCTGGTGATTCCCGCCACTAATAAGTCATAATTTACTGCTAAAATAAAGTCATAGTGTTATTGTATAAAACTTTACAATACGTATATTCTTTTTCTTGTAAACGTTATCACATTATTTTCATAACACTGCAACCATTTCAACCATTTCTTCGAAAAAATATGATTCTATTGTTGTAATATCATGTAATTTTCTTTTAATTACAACTCTCACATCAAGACCTTCGTTTCAAATATTTTAACTAGTGCTGCACGATTTCATAAAATTTGTGATTGCGATTATGGTGGACAATATCGCGATTGTGATTACAATATAATTACAATATACAATATAATAAATAAATGGTATCATGAGTCTTTTTGCTTGATTCAGTGTTTCCCCTACATTATATTAGGGGGGCACTGACCTGACATTGTTATGGACAGACAGTGTGTCAATGACCATCAACAGACTGAGCACAGTCAAACACGCTGCTCACACAGCAGCGCAGCACGGAACTGTACACACAGCGGAGCGAGCATATGTTGCGTTCAGGCGTTGTCACGTTAATGACAAATTCCAGCGTCATAGCACAACACAGCAGCATGTCAAGTGGGTCGAATCCGAGCAAAATTGTTTAATTTTTCATTTGTTATGGAGTCCTTGATTTCCCTGTGACACTTTCAAATGTTTGCTTAACTGTGCTTGGATGTTGTTTTATGAGGCTCTGGCGGCTCTCAGTTGTCTCTTTGTCTTTAACGTTACACGGCTCGGCTTTCTCTCACATGCATCCTTCCTACTTTTCCCTGTGCTGTCTCAAGTGTTGATATAGATTGGTCGTGTTGCCGCGGGACGTGGCGACTTTTACACAGCACGTCTTTCTGTTCAACATCACCGTACCTGAATCCAAAGTATCGCCATGTAATAGACATTGGGGTTTTTTTCGCCACCGATTCTGCCTGTTTATGGTCGTGCTTATGCTCTTCTTCAGCGTCTGTGTTGGTCACTGCTGCATGCACCAGGATAGCTTGTGGGCGTAATGTCAACAAACTCCACACACTACAGGAGAGGCAGTCACGTCCACAGGCACACATATTAACATTTATTTACATTAAATCGCAAATCGCAGCCTTTTATGTGGTTATGTAATCGCACAGCCTGATATCGCGATTGCGATTAGATTAATCGTGCAGCACTAATTTTAACCCTGCAGTGGCCCTTATACTCTGTCATCATATCACTGTGTCAGGTAAATGATGAATGAAAGAAAACATGAGCGAGAGCAGAACGAATTTCTTTGTGAGCGGTGATGAACGTCTGAGGAAGAGTTCAAACATGTTGTTTGTTTGGTCTTGTTGAGATCAACCTGATTTTCTACTTTGTTTCTTTAAGGAACTGTTAAAGAGTTCCCAACATGCGCTGGCAACAAACATCAAAGAGTTGAACACTATTCAAAGTTTCCCCAAGGTCTGCACGTTCGGGATGTTTCAGAAACTAAAATCATACAAATGTAATTTTGCAGCTTGATCTAAAGTAAAACTGTCAACTGAGTTGTTCACGTTGGCCGAGGCATTAAATGTCACAGACTTTTTGTATTTTCAGTTCCTAAAGTTTCACCTCTTCCTTGGAACATTAGGTGTCAGGTGTCCTCCAGACAGACATCAGGCTGCTGCTGCTCTTTGTGATAAACTGATGTTTTTGAGATATTAACCATAATTCACAGAGAGGACCTGGAGTACCTTGTTGACCTCCAGGAAGCCGTACACCTGACAGCCCTCGTTCTTCTGCTCCTGCATCCTCTGTGTGAAGCCCTCCCTCTTACACTGCTCGATGGTGTCGGCGCTCTTAAATGCCCAGCCTCGCCGCCGGTACGCCTCCCGCACGTCATCGCAGGTGTTACAGCACCTGCACACATACAAACACACCAAGCAGAGGCACGACAAATGAATACAAGATTATACAGAAAACGCAAAGAAAGAAAAAGCTGTGTGTGTGTGTGTGTGTTTTGGCATCTTACTTAAGGTCTTCAGTCTCAGCTCCGTAGCAGCTCTCACATCTGTTTGGGTCCAGTGAACTGGGGTCAAACACTTCGCCATCATCTGCCATACCAAGCTCTACAAAACAAAACAAATAAACACAACATCAATCTAAAGAATCCTGACACTAGCGCTCTGACGTTTCAGTGTCAGCTGTTTGTGTTGGCAAATCAAAAATGTGCACACAAACTTTCCAGTTGGACAGCTATGTATTGTTAGCTTTTAGCGGTCTGCTAACTCCACTGTTTACCTAAGGGAGGAGAGCAAACAGCTGCTGCCTGTCTTATAGTGATATAAATTTTGTGCAGTGTTTTGACCTCATGGTTCTCAAACTGACCTCCCTGAATCATCAATTCCCTGTAGTCCCTGGATCAGGGTCAGGAAAGCTCACACAACAGTCAAAGTTTACCGTGTTTTTCTGCCTCGGCCGTGACGGGTTTCAGGTCTTTGTCCAGACGTTGTTTGAACAGATTGTGCTCAACGTCTAGCTGCTGCTCACCGGCCACGTCCATCGCGTCTATACTAAGATCTGAGTGAGAAAAGAACGGGAGAAGGTGGGTGAGTGTTCATTACCAACATGTCGTCATTAGCAGGTCACTACGGCAGTGAGGTCACAGCGATGCTACTTACAGGCGCAGGGCATGTGAGGGAAAATGACGTCGATGTTGATTTTCAGTTTGTCCCCTCGAGACGTGTCGACGTACAGCTCAGGGTGAACCTGCGGGGGAAACAAGCGTGGACGGATTCTAATATGGTCAAAACACACAACATGGCCGACACTGACACATGAAACATTCAACTGAAAATATCTGAGATGTGACAGAATAATTCCCCTTTAGTTGTTTTAATTTCTGCCTCTCAGTTTCAAGTTTGAAACCTCTGAATTAAAAATATTTAAATGGATTTTCTAAACACAGGAACATCCACTCTCTCTACACTCCCACTGGTCTGATGCAACATTTTGTTCTATGAAACAAGACACATCAACGAACTTCAGCTGTGTACATTTTCTGTCCTTGATTTATTTATTGGAGCCCACGTTAAAATATGTTGCTAATGTTATCAGGATTAACAGCTGTGAGCAACACAATGATGAAGATTAATGCTGATTCACAGCTGTGTGTCGTGACTTTGAGCCTTCGGCAGTTTCCCTGTTTGTGACTGGACTCATCAGACCGGTCTGACAGGAAGTTTTTCCTAAAGGCTGGAAGCTGGTTAACCCCAGGCTGCTTTCATTATCATCACTACTTACTAATTTTATAATCATTATACTATAATTACATAATGGTGATTTGTACAAGCTGAACATCATTTGTGCAATCAATTGTGTGACGTGTTGATCAATAATTTATTTAGACAATACTCTTTGTTTGATTCTTGATTATTCTATTCTATACTTAACACACTTGGTACTATGACGCACATATTTGTACATGTTTATTATAGTTCATATATTCTTTCTGTATTTATTTATTTAGGTTTATACTGGGTTATATGCTGTGGCATAATGCACATTTCTTCCATACTTCTTATCTTATATTTCTATCTTACTATATAATGATGAAAACTCTGTGTGTGTGTGTGTCTGTTCCATGTTTTTCTCCTCACTGAATTGGTCAATCCATGTGAAATTTGGCACAGTGGTAGAGGGTCATGGGAGGATGCGAATGAAGCAATATTACATCAATTGGCCAAAGGGGGGCGCTATAGCAACCAACTGAAATTGCAAACTTTGAATGGGCATATCTCATGCCCCGTATGTCGTAGAGACATGAAACTTTGCACAGAGATGCCTCTCCTCGTGAGGAACACATTTGCCTCAAGAACCCATAACTTCCGCTTATATAGATTTTCCACCATTTTGAATTTTTTGAAAAACACTTCAAATGGATCTCTTCCTAGGAAGTTTGAGCGATCTGCATGAAACTGGGTGAACATAATCTAGAGACCAATATCTAAAGTTCCCTCTTGGCAAAAGTTGGAAAACTTACTAAAACTGAGCTTCTATAAGGCAATGAATATTGTGGAGGGCGTGGCTCATCACATATAGGTGTATAACATCTCAAGGGTTTCACCCATCACCACGCAACTTTGTAGGCATATGACCACACATAATCTGAGGGGACCCCTACATTATTGACCCCATCAAACAAAATGGGGGCGCTAGAGAGCTAATTTCTTATCTAGGCCTAACCGCCATATGGATTTTTACTGAACTTGGTAGATATGTAGAACAGGACGCCTCAAGGTGACTGGAGAAATTTAACTCTAATTGGCAACTGGGTGGTGCTATAACAACAGAACAATGCGACCGATCGCTGTGGCTCCCCCTGTGGCCCAATGTTGTTTATTTTTCTAATTTTTGGTATGACTAAGTCATGGTATGGTATGCTGTACATAATCATGGAAACTGTCAGTGTGTCATTCTGTCAGTCAGTCATTCTGTCTGTCCCATGTTTTTCTACTCACTGATGTGGTCATTCTATGTGAAACTGCACATAGGCATTGAGGATTGGCATAGGTAGAAGGTGACAAAGCTACCAATGGGTATGGACAAGTTTTCTTATAATTATCTGTGCATACATAAAGTAAGAGCAATTTTATGTCAAATTTCCCCCTGAGGACCAATAAAGTATTTCTCATCTCATCTGCATTCTTTATCTTGGAAATAGCTTTGTCAACAGCATAATTATTTTTTTGGGCACGTTTGGGACTTAAAAGTTGAACTAAGTGCTCCAAGAAAAAAAGAGAAACATTTGAACATCTGCAGCTCCACGATAGCTGAGCAAACTCCGTGTAATATGGTTTAGAGCGGGGCTGTTCAACTATAATGTTCAGGGAGCCATGTTTTAAGAGAGCCAAGGGCCCAGGGGCCGAACATTCCCCTGAGCTATTACTCTCATTATGTATGCATACCTGACACGCCTCGGCGTCGCCACCACATTTTCTAGACTTTTCGATTGCTTCTCTCTTCTCTGGGTCAACAGCCTGAAGTTCAGTTAAAGTTCCACTGAATTTTTGTCAAGTTTGTTGGTCTTAGTCGAGTCATTCATGGTTTCCTAGTTGTGCTGAGAAGCACAGAATTTCATGTTTTACAGGATCTAAATAGTGCAAACTGTATATTTTGGGCAAAATCTTAAATAAGACACTTAGAATAAAGTGATTTTGATTAAATATGACACATGATACATTCAAGGACCATTGGAAATGAAAAAAAAATGTGACAATCGTTTGTTTTTACAGTTTCTGGCTATGATAAATTGTGTAACGTTGGTGATTATTCAAAGAAAACGTGGGTTCAGAGGCAATAAGGCAAATGTCTGTTATTTTAATTTTTCCTCTTAAGGTTTTAAACTTTATTTGTAAAGCGGACTGATCAATCTGTTGGATAGGCCTTGTCTAAAGGCTGGGAACAAGCTGGTAAGTGGATCTTGAGATTCTTTAAAGACCATTTAATGTCACATAGAATACAATTTAATACACTTTCCATGGTCATACAAACATAAGAATGACAGACACCCAGTAAGGACAATAAGGCCTAGAATTACTTCATAAATACATGGATTTTATCAACATTTATGGCACATTTTGTCAGTACTGTCGAGCTGCATATACATCAATAATTCGTGGTAATTTAATTATTTAACATGACCTGAACCCAGATAAGTGGCTGGAAATTGATGGATGGAGGAGGCAATAAAAACATGTATCAATTTAAGTGTTATTTATTATATTAGTGTAATTAAAATGTTAATCTAAGTTTTTGCCCATTATGAGTCAGTGAGCTTCCTAGCTACTGTGGCTTCAATACTATTCAATTCAATACTGGAACTCAGTAGTATTCTTAAACGAGGCTGTGTGAATATTTCGACATGTTGGGCTTCCCTGGTTGGACACACTACATCAAACAAAGCCAAATGCAGAACTCCTCTTTGGCTGCGCACACATTATATTGCCTCTGTGAAATCTAATTTCACCTGGAGGATTCTGCACACGAAAGGACGAGATCAAATCATCAGGTGCTGTGGATGAACTCACCTCTTTAGTGAGATAGTACTGCAGCTCAGAGACAAACAGGATTAACATGATGACACCGCTGATGATGGTCACTGCAGAGACACAGAGGAAGTTCGCGTGTTAGACATTAGAAGAGTTCCTTTAAATCCCAGTTCAAAGTCTGAGAGTGGAGAGAGGAAAAATTCCTCAGATCCTCTAATGTTTGTTAAATCATATTTTATCATATGCAAGGAAAAAAAACATGCATTTGATCCTTGTTTTTCAATTGTTAAATACACTTTCTTCCCTCTGCGACAACCTGATATTTTCTGTCTAATGTTTAAGTTTTGCATTTTAATCAGGACTAAAAAAACACTTGAATCGTACAGATGACTATTCATAATTATGGAAATGGAGGTGACTGCTGATTATTGGATTTTAGTCATACAGTTAGCAACATTAAAACTCACTCATACAAGACTGTTTACAGTTGGACTCCTTCCTGCATTCACTTTATGTTGACTAATCAATTAATGACTTGAGCACTAAGTCAAAGTCTTCCCAGAGGTTAAACACTACTAAGGCTGAAAGCAAACATAAGATGAAGTGTTCTGACAATGGAGGATAATAACAATAATAATAATAATAGATTTTATTTATAACGCACTTTACATTTGAATACAAATCTCAAAGTGCACAGTACAAAGGCAAATAAAAGCAACAATAACAGTAAAATCGAGCAACAGAACAAAACAATAAAGTCAGCAGATAAAATCAGATAAGATTAGTCAGGATTGGCTTTCTGAAAAAGGAAGGTTTTGAGTCCTTTTTTAAAAGCATCCACCGACTGTGGAGCCCTGAGGTGGTTGGGGAGGGCGTTCCACAGACGGGGAGCAGTAGCCTCGAAGGCCCTGTCGCCCATGGTCTTGAGCCGAGTCCTGGGCGGGCGCAGACTGTGCAGTTGGCCTGACCGGGTTCTGGCTGAGGTAAGTGGGTTGAGGAGTTCGGTGAGGTAGGTGGGTGCTACACCGTGCAGACAGTGATGGGTGTGAAGGAGGATTTTGAATTCGATGCGGAGGTGAACGGGGAGCCAGTGCAGAGTGTGAAGGATGGGGGTGATGTGCTCATGTTTACGCACTCTCATCAGGACCCGAGCAGCGCTGTTTTGGACATATTGGAGCCTTTGTAGGCTCTTGCCCGGGATCCCGATGAAGAGCGCGTTACAGTAGTCCAGCCTGGAGGAGACAAAGGCATGGACGAGCCTCTCTGCTGCAGGACGAGAGAGAGATGGCCGGAGTTTGGCGATATTACCGAGGTGAAAGAAGGAAGTCTTGCAGATATGGTTGATATGATCGTCAAAGCTAAGATGGGGGTCAAACCTGACCCCCAAATTAGTCACGGAAGGAGAGAGGGAAAAGTTGTGGCCGAGAAAAGAGACGGAGGAAATGTGGGAAGAATGGAGCTGGTGAGGGGTGCCGATATGAATGGCTTCCGTTTTGGAGCTGTTCAGCTGTAAGAAGTTTTCACTCATCCAAGCCTTTATCTTCTCCAGGCAGGAGTCCAGTTGAGTGACAGAGGAGGAGGAAGTGGATCTTATCTTATCTTGTTACTGTTGCTAAAATTGGTCAAATCTGTTGCTGTATCAAACTATGCACATTATTCATCATAAATAAAAAAGTTTCAACCATAAAACGTGATCAGGTTTTGTGTCGGGATCAGCTGCAGACTCGGCAGAGATGGCTGCCATCTTGTTTTTACATGGATTATTGTGGTCTTAACGCCACTAAATGGCACAAAAAGTGTCCATGAACAAGGACGACAGGTGTAAGTCAAGTAGAATAAAGTAAAATGTGATGCCCTCTTACAAGGACACAGGGTCTCAGGAGGATATATTAGTTACGCATTATTGTGGACATTACTTATGTTAAAGCTGGCAAAGTTTAGCCTACATTTTATTGATTAATATTCTAGCCTCTTAATATCCCCCTGAGGATAAATGTCATAAAAGCTTCAGCTTTATCAATAATTGTAATAAATGCAGTACAATAAGTATAATAATAAAACATCATGATGTATTTGTTGATTATGTTTTGTATTATTAATAAGAACCTCCAAAGTAGCTAGTGACTATACCTCTCAGATGAATGTTACATTAGTGGAGTTAAATGTACAACATTTCTAAATTAAAATAAAATGTTGAACAGCTGAATACGAGAATAAGAAGTGGGCCTGTTTGGGTAAATGAAGCCTACTTAGTTAGTTAGTTAGTTAGTTAGTTAGTTAGTTTGCACAGCAGGTTGTCAGCCTGTCTCTGTGCTGATGTAACATGTAAATGTCCCCTAAGGATCAATAAAGTCTTATTTTAAATATCCAAAATCTCCAGCAGCAGGATTTGTGATATTACCACCAGTAATGTAAAGTGTTCATGGATTAAAACAAACTGGCTAAAACATGCAGCAAATATGCAGTAAAAATCCCTGATAATTAGCAGCTATCACAGAAGTTATTTAGTAACACATCTGTTCTGTGTATATTTGCATTTTTATCACTAGCATAGTGTTGCTGTTACTGAATTAGAACAATGGAGGTTAATGTGTGTATTCTGCTGCTGCTGAGACTCACACTGCGTTATAAAGATAACGTTAAGACTGTGACGTGTTTTATAAACGTTGTAGTTTAAAGCAGAAATGATTCAGTTAGCCTTGTTGTTAGCCGCAGCAGCTAACAGCCACAGTGTCTGAATGGCTGCTAGCTGCTCTCTGATAAACTGAAGCCTCTCACCGGTCGCTCCTCCCCACGTCTTCACTCGGAAATCCTCCAGAGTTTTGGGATAAGCGTCAAACTGCTTCAGCTTGTTTAACGTGTCCATTTTCTCAACCAGAAACCCACCGCGAAACACAAATGTAACCGACAGATTCCTGCACCCCTGACACACATCAGTCCTCCGTTTTCACTTCCGGGACACGCACGGGCACGGCTCGGCCAATCAGCGACGGCCGCGTAATTTCCCCATTTTCTTTTTTTTTCTTCCCTTTTTTTGTGTCGAATTTAAAAAGTAAAAACAGTTAAAAATGTAAAAGACGAAGAAACAAAGACAGGATAAAAACATATGACGTGAAGAATCATGAAGGCAGTGGTGGAAGTACTCAGATCTTTTCACATTATATTGGGAAAATGTGGTGTTTGGTTTTCTTAAGAATCCTAAAAAAGAAAACAATGTCTTTTTTGTAATAAATTTGATATTGATTCTAGCCAAGTTTTTTTTATCCATGAGTGAAAATTCAGTTGTAGAAAACCCTGTTTAAAAAAAAAAGTACTCAGATCTTTCATATTTCATCTCATTGCACTTTCTGTCATGATGTTACTGAAACTGTACAACATTTATTCTGGGATATGGAAGCGTATTGCATTCACTTGACAAATAAAAAAAAAATCTGTTTTATTGAGTAATTTTTGTGTTTTTCTGAGTATTTTTTTATTTTTCTGTTTTTCGTGGTATTTTTTTTCTGTTTTCCGCGTTAATTTTGTTACTGTTTTTTGTGGGGTTTTTTTGTTTTTTTTTCTGAGTATTTTTTTCTGAGTTAAGAGAGCAATAGAACAACAGACGCTTTAATTCCTTTTTTGAGAGCTCGATATAAGGGAAGCAAACATGACCCGCTTGTTTAGTTTAATCCAGTTTTACTTTCTTTTGGGTTTGAGACACTGGGAGATACTCTTGTCTTTAAGTCATATAGATGGTGTTATCATTAGTTTGTCGACTTTACGCAGGCACCGGTCACTTGCAGGTGCCAGGTGGGAGCTTCTCGCAAGATTTTTAAGTATCTTGTCTCCTCGTTCAGGAAAAAAAAAAAATACCACGAAAAACAGGGAAAAAATTCCTCAGAAAAACAGAAAAAATTCCTCAGAAAAACAGAAAAAATTACTCAGAAAAACAGGGCTTTTTTTATTTGTCAAGTGAATGCAATACGCTTCCGTACCCCAAAGACTCCAGTGTCTCGGAAAAAGATTTTGTTATTAATCTACATCTATTTTTAGCGACGTTTTATATCCATGAATGTAAATTTGCTAAAAGCCTGCCTCTTTGTCCTTCAAAGGAGAACTGAAAAGCTATATGGCTTCCATTGAACATTCGTCCAACTCTCTAGCTATTAACACACATCTACAATGTGCTATTTTTAATTTGTTCTGATGTATGTAACCTTGTGTCATTCTGTTAAACGTTTTTGTACTTTGTTCTTGTACGTGTTATACATGTCCTTAACATGGATGTTCTGTACAATGATTTTTCAAAAAGAAAAGTACTCAGATCTTGTACATTACCTAAGTAGCAATACTCCAATGCAGTCAGTTACAAGTAAAAGTCTCACATTATAAAATTTTTCTTAAGTACAAAATTATTACCGTCAAAATATACTTGAAGTGCGCAATCAAAAATTAAAAGCACTGCTCCATCTCAGAATAAAGTACAATATAATATATATTTGGATTACTGACGCATTGATGTGTTGATCTCTTTAAATATGAAGCTAGTGAACGTGTAGCTAATTTCAATTACTTTAAATACATGCATATTTATTCATTTATACTGGTATGTAATTATTTGTTTGAGTTGAAGCTTTGTCTGTAGTTGACATGTTTTTCCTATGTCAACTCAAAAATATGAATGAGAAGTTTATAACTTAAACAATATATCATGTTGAGTGCCTGCTAGTCTGAAACAAATAAAAAATGTTGCGGTGAATCTTTTATTTTCTCTCTGGTATTAAAAACACTGTCAAAGGTCTGCCCAGTAAAAACCTACAGTGTGTCTGTAACAGCCGTGAAAAGGTTGATGCATCTTAATGCCTGTTTCCTATGGAGAGGTCAGGGACGGACAAGATTCACATACTTTAGTTTTAATTAGACTTTGTACAGTTTAGAGAACAGACACATATTCACATATTAAAGAACATTAAACAAACTGATCCAGAGCAGCTCTCATAATAAAGTTTTATCTTTAAGACAACAGAAATATTTCCACAGTGTGCCTGATAAACGAACTTTTTGTGTAAACATTTTACTCTTGGTAGGGTTTGTAAGCAAACTGTGACTTCAGTTGTCACCGTTTGTTTTCCAGACATCCAGAAACAGGATGAGTTTATCAGCATTACTCCTCCTCCACCTCAAGCTGCAGACGAGAGGCGAGCCGCTGAGCGAGCTCCAGGTCACCTCCCGCATCCCGCTCAACCTTCAGATGACCTATGACCTCATGTCTGACCCCGAGGTCCGCCACGGCTGTCTGAACCAGCTGCAGACGGGTTTCTCTGAGGGAACGCCGCAGCTTGGCTCGCCGGTTCTGAAACCAGATCTGAGAAAGAGAGCGGAAAGTTAACATGGCAGAGACAACAGCAGAAGAGCTGCTTGTCGTTAGTGCTTTCATGTCGGACGTTCTCCCTTCTTTCTTCTTTAGTTTATATTCTCACACTCAGAATGTTCCCTTTTTTTCAGTTTCTTATATTAGTCACACTATGTTAACATTAAAACACATCTTTGGACAATCACCTCTGTACATAGTTGCACAAATTTTCTGTACATCATATTGTGATGTGCAAATATTCTACATGTCTTGTGCATCTTCATCGTCTCTCCAAACTTTCCAAAGATACTAAATGGGTGTAAAATACATACTTGGTATCTCTGGAAAGTTTGGAAAGATTTCCCTGGAAATTAAAATGAGGTTCTTTGGGTTTAAACAGAATCTGTATTGACTTTGCACACTGGGTTAGTTTAAGAAGTTAAAACAGCAGCAGCAGCAGCAGCAGCAGAGGAGCTATCTTCATTTCACAGAGTTAAATTCTCAGTATGTGTCTGAACCTGTATTCTGTCCTCATCCAGGTCCAGTCTGCCCGCCAGCTGCTCCCTCAGCTGGATACCTGGGTAACAGTTCACCTGAAACACTGTCTCCAGAACATTCACCTGCACAACACACACACATATGAGATTACCAAACTCACTATTTGAATGAAAGAGAGTTCTTTCTCTTGATCTGTTTTTGAATGATTAATTGACAGACTGACTGACTGATTACCTGGCTGTTGGTGAAGGCAGTGCGTGGTCTGCGTCCGATATACCAGTTGGATGTTGGCCTGGCAGAGTTCACCTGCTGAGGATGATGATGATGTGGTTTTGAGCACAAACTGTTTCTGTTCTCCTTCTCTGCTCCGATCTCTGGATACGTAGGAAAACAAAAGAAGAAGAGCAGATTGCACATGAAACACCTTTTGTAATTAATTATCAGTTCTTTCTCACAACATTAAACCTATTGGGGGAATTTTTCCAGTACTTTCAAATACGATTTTATGTCCTTGATCTAACACATTTTACACATATTAACCCTTTGAAATCTGAGCAATTGGCTTGATTTCTTTTTTTAAAAAAAAATGGCAAGAAGGCAGTGATGAACAAAAGAAGAAATGACCGATAAAATTAGCAAGAAATTACCAAAAAGAGAAAATTAAAAACAAGGAAAGAAAGAAAGGCAGAAAGAAAGTTAAAAACATACAAACAAGGAAATTACTTGAAGAGTGCCTAAAAATTATAATAATTCTGTAACATAATTTTAAACTGTAATGATAATAATTCTAAATATTGTAGTAATATATATACATAATATGTCTTTCCCCTATTTTTTCACGGTTTAAAAAAAAAAAAAATTCTAAATCTACTTTCCCCCATGTTTTTGAAAGACATTTGCCAAATCAATTTGTGAAAGGTGTCTGAAAGCAGCACAAGAAAAGTTTAAGGGTTAATATATTACAAATCTATATGTAAAAGTATATTAATGAGTTAATATTAGTCTTGAAAGAGATCAGTTTAATATTGATATCCAAAAGAAAACTTTGAATTGTTATCCATTGTGTGCTTTATTCCCTGACGTTCAGTTTTACTACTTTACAGTTCAGTTGTATTTAGTTGAACAATGAACAGAAACACTGAAGAAACTGAACGAACAACAGCTTGTTTAGAGGGTTCCCTTTCATCTATTGCCCCAGAACAGCATCTTGTAATAACTTCTTAAAGCCTGACACAAATTTTCAACAGCAATGGGTTTATTGATAGGAAGGATGGAATTGTTTTCTGGCTTTCCAAAACCAAAATGTTCAGGCAAAGGAAAATATTGCAAAACTGAAAGTGATTGTATGTGTACGCATGTACTAAACATAGCAGCTAATTTAAAGCTAAGCTGTAGTTAATATCTCTCAGAGGTCTTATACAATCACACAAATGAACCAAAAATTATATTTCTGCAATTATAGACATACACATGGAAAATTCAAAAATAATAATAACAATAATAAAACAACTTTTTACATTTAGTAGAGCAGAATTTTATATTATCAGCTGTAACTTTTTATACAGTTACAGTCATAGGTATAGATTCAAAAAAGAAAGACAGCAGCAGACTTTTCTTTTTGACAAACTCAAAGACATGTCCACCATATATTTATGCAGGAAAGGCACAAATTGGTGCATAAAGAAATCACCAGAATGCAGCAAATTTAAATGTTTGACTCTTACATGTTAAATTCTCTAATGGAGGACCCCCAAATGTTAAAACAATACCTGTGCCTATGGTTACAGCACTGTATGCAATACTGTGGTGCTCTGTGTCATATATTTTTACATCAAACTAAATGGTGTTTATGTCCGCAGTAATAATGTTGTACCATCTCAGCTGTGACTTCACATTTTATTTTCTGATCAGTTACATCACACTAATTTAGACGAGACAGAAAACATTGAATCAAATGGCATTTAAATACTGTTAACACATGAAACAAGACAACTAGTAATGAGTCAATTTGATTCTATAACGATATCTTTACTTTTTAGCACTACAGTAAGATTCAGATCAGACTGGCGGTTGGTGCTTTGTCACTAGTAAACAAACTTGTACAGAAAATAGTTCAAGATAAAGACTTTTATCTCCTCACCTGCCCACGGTCGGTGGAGTTTCAGGCAGGTTCCAGGTCTTTCCAGCTCCAAACCCAGAATCCGCTCGATGGAGAACGCCGGCCTGCTTTCTGCTGTCACAGGAGCCACAGTGGATGCCATAGTAATCGATCTGACTCAATAAACAACCTAAAAAACTACTGACGACAACCAAAAAAAGAAAACTGTCCCATAAGTTGATTTTCTCTCAATTAAAAACTGATGATACTAAAGGTTCTATGCTGTGGACCTGTGCTCTGCAATCAGCTGCAACAGTGAATGGATGATGAAGTCTGAGGAACATGTGAAGCAGCAGGAAGACAAACTGCTGACTGCTGGTTTAAATGGGAGTGGAGGATTTACAATGGCCACCTATTAGAATTAAGAAGTGTTTTTTCCATGTGAATGAGATTCCCTGAGGTTCCATGCAGCAGCTAATCTCTCACTCAGTGTGTGTGTGTGTGTGTGTGTGTGTTACTGAGAGAAAGCATATTTAAATTTTTAGTTTACTTAGTTTAACAACTCTGCTAAAAGAGAGTATTTGCAAACTTTGCAGGAGACAAAAAACATTTTATGTGTGAGGACGAACACGTGTGTGTATTTGTATCAGTGTTTTCCCACAGTGATTCGCTGAATGAGTGCGTGTGTGAGATTAGGTTGAGGAGCCTTTTTAGAAACTGTCACCGGTGTCACACAAACACAAAGCATAATTCCACCCTTTTCATCGGAATTACCAAAGTAGAAAATCAGTTTAGTTTTCCAACTAAAAATACGTCCATGCTTCTGTTACAAGTCTGTGACGGACTCTAATCTAATAATAATAATAATGATAACGACGGCAATAATTACGATCCGGGGAGATCCACTAATACTATTAGCCTAATCTGTGTGTGTTGTGATGCAGATGAAGCTCGTAGCGTCTGAATGCAGGTTGAAGCAGCAGGGAGGAAAACCTTTTCACAACCAGATTAGCTCCTAATGAAGGCCTGAAGCAGCTTTAAACTAACCGCACACTTGTTTATTTATCCCTGAATGAAAGGAAGGATGGGTGTAAGGATGTGATGACAACAGGCAGAGAGGAAGGCTGTCTAAACTCAGCTTTAGTGTGATGATGTGTGGAATACAGCTGAAGGAATATTTCAGCTTCTTTGGAAGTAGACTTCACTTTCTGCCTGAGAATGATACAAGAAGATTGTTATGAGTCTCATTTCTGTGTGTTAAATATAAAGCTGGAGCAGGAAGGTGATAGTTTAACTCTCCTGGGAGTCAAAAATGCCTGGGCAGTGGCCTGTGGTGTCAGATATGGACACAAAATGCACCCTTTAGCATCTGTATTAGATGCTACAGGCTTTTAACAAACTCCAATGTGAACCCATCAGTGTCATTATTAGACTATAAGAGCAATGGGCAGAGGATAAAGCACGAAAAGTCTACCTAGGGCGGGTGGTAGGGGAGATGGATGGGTCCAACAAGCACAGGACTTTGACCTAGTAGACACATGTATGTGCCCTGGGTGAAACTAAACATTGACGCTGAGTTACGTCGGTCATTACTCACTTGAGTCTGAAAGGTTGTGGTTGATGTTAGCCACATCCCTCCATCCATTCATCCATTTTCAACCACTTATCCAGAGCCAGGTCGTGGGGGCAGGTGGCTGAGCAAAGTCCTCCAGATTTAACTTTCCTCAGCAATGCTTTCCAGTTCCTCCTGGGGGACCCAGAAACGTTCACAGGCCAGATGACATATATATAATTCCTCCAGCATGTTCTGGGTCTGCCCTTGGACCTCCTACCGGTTGGATGTGCCTGGAACACCTCAAGGAAGCATCCTGATCAGATGCCTGAACCACCTCAACTGACCCCTTTCGACACGAAGGAGCAGCGGCTCTACTCTGAGCTCCCTCTTCATGTCTGAGCTCCTCACTCTATCTCTAAGGCTGAGCCCAGCCACCCTTTGGAGGAATTTCTGCTGCTTGTATCCATGACCTCATCCTTTTGGTCATTACCCAAAGCTCATGATAGGTGAGGGTTCGGATGTAGATAGACCAGTAAATCAAAAGCTTTGCCTTGCAGCTCAGCTCCCTCTTCACCATGACGGTCAACCGCCGATCCATCTCACGCTCCATTCTACCCTCACTCGTGATCAAGACCTGGGGATACTTGATCTCCCTCACTTGGGGAAGTAACTTACTCCCAACCCAGAGGAGGCAATCCACCATTTTGTGGCAGACAACCATGGCCTTAGTCATGTGAGTTGACTAATGTGACTTATGCCAACCACAATTTCTTCCTAACCCTAATCAAGGAGTCTTGTTGCCTAAACCTAACTGGCACTGACATCTTCCTAGACCATACTTGCCACCCTTACCAATTTCCCTGGGAAACTCCTGTTATTTTGGCCCTCCAGGGATCACAATTCCCCATATTTCCCCAAATATATGACACTTTTTTCCTTTTCAATATTACAATCTGTTTTTGTAACTGTACAGCAAGTATAAGCCTTATAACTTGAAAAGGTCTGCTGCTTCCACCTGGACATCAATACAGCTACACTAAATGTCAGTTCGTCCTCTCAAGTGAGTATGAGACGGAGAGAGAAATAGAGAGTATTAAGAGAAAGAAATACTCAGGGTAATTGCAGACATCCTGGAAAGAAGAATTCCCATTTCTCATGGAAGGCTTTAAAGAATTCCCTTTAATGAATATGGTCACTTCTGGCTCCAAAAAACCCCCCAAGATGGCCACAGTCGAAATGTATGAACTTGAGGCTTTAAACTGGGGAATCCACACACCAATAGGTGACGTCACAGTGGTTACGTCCATTATTTTACACAGTCTGTGTTTTTATCCCATACATTGACAGAAATGTAACAACAGGGGGAATTATGTAGTGGAAAGATTTCTTGGGAAATGGTTTATCCATTAAGATGGTACTTTGTTGGGGCAACTGAGGTTACGGAGCACTGGTTGTTACCAAAACCAGGCAACCTCTCTGGCTGCAAATAATGAAATTAATGATGGCTAAATTCCATTTAGTTGTTGTGATTTCAGGGGTTACAACACACCCATCGTTACTATATTTAGTAAAACCTGTGCTTTCCCTACTGTGACAAGTCAAAAAGTGTGCTGTGAGAAAGGCCTTTGGAGGAAATGCGAAACTCCCATTACCTCACAAGAGCCCCACCCTGTATTGTACCTGACTCATCTGAGACATGCCAGTAAGAGACTGCTGTTCTTCCTTGTTACCAAATACACACACTGCAACATTAACTGTCAGTTCAAACTAACCACATCCAGAGAGAGGACGGCTTGAAGAGAGGACACGGCCACTTAAACCTGTTCCAGCAGCCCACACTGCATGTGAGTTTTACACAGAAACTGGACTCAGAGTCAAAGTAAGTGTCACAAGTGATTCACTGTGATTTCTGCCTGGTGTCTTTCAGCTTCACTCAGAGAGAGAATGTCTGCCGGGTCTGAGGAGGATCTCTCCTGTCCTGTCTGCCGTGATATCTTCAAAGACCCTGTTGTCCTGGCATGCAGCCACAGCTTCTGTAAAGACTGTCTGCAGAACTGGTGGACGGAGAAATACATACAGGAGTGTCCAGTTTGTAAGAGAAGATCATCAAGGGGTGATCCACCTTGTAACTTGGTGCTAAAGAAGCTGTGTGAGGCCCTCTTACTGAAGAGAGAGACGAGGGCTTCAGCAGGGTCTGAGACTCTCTGCTGTCTGCACTCTGAGAAGCTCAAACTCTTCTGTCTGAACCATCAGCAGCCGGTGTGTGTTGTTTGTCTGCATTCAGAAACACACTCTGGACACACATTCAGACCTGTTAATGAAGTCGCACTGGATCACAGAAAGGAGCTCCTGAAGTGCCTGAGGCCCTTACAGCAGAAACTGAGGCTGTTTGAAGACGTTAAAGGAAACTGTGACCAAACAGCAAAACACATTAAGGTCAGGGCCCGACACACAGAGAGGCTGATTAAGGAGCAGTTTAAGAAGCTTCACCAGTTTCTTCAAGAGGAAGAGGAGGCCAGGATCTCTGCTCTGAGGGAGGAAGAGGAGCAGAAGACTCGGATGATGAAAAAGAAGACTGAGGCTCTGAGCAGAGAGATAGCAGCTCTTTCAGACACAGTCAGAGCCACAGAGGATGTTCTGAGAGCTGAAGACGTCTCATTCCTGCAGAACTACAAGGCTGCAGTGGACAGAGTCCAGCAGCGCCCCCTGCTGGATGATCCACAGCTGGTCTCAGGAGCTCTGATAGATGAGGCCAAACATCTGGGCAACCTGACCTTCAACATCTGGAAGAAGATGAAGGACATGGTCTCCTACACTCCTGTGATTCTGGATCCAAACACTGCTCATCCAGAACTCATCCTGACTGAAGATCTGACCAGTGCGCTATTTGGAGAGAAACAGAAGCTTCCTGAAAACCCAGAGAGGTTTGACTACTTTCGGATTGTCCTGGGCTCCGAAGGTTTTAACTCAGGGACTCACAGCTGGGACGTTGAGGTTGGAGACAACACAGACTGGTTTGTTGGTGTGGCAGCAGCGTCTGTCCAGAAGAAGGGAAAACACCCATGTAGTTTATGGAGAGTAGGGTACCTTAACGGTAAATACACAGCACGCTCTCTATCAGACCCCTCCATAGTTCTGTCAATGAGGAGGAAGCTCCAGAGGATCAGAGTTAAACTGGACTGGGACAAAGGAAATCTGTCATTCTCTGATTCTGACACTAACACACACATACACACCTTCACACACACGTTCACTGAGAGGCTGTTTCCATACTTTAACACTATAAATGCACACCCACTGAAGATATTACAAATTCCTGTCTTTGCAGTAGTATGACAAGGAGCCTTATCCTGATGCTGATCTTATTCAGGAGATCATGTTTATATGGAACATGAGAAACCTGAGACACCTGAACTACAAAGCCAGTTCAGCATATCTAGGACATCTTTTTGTTACGTGCTTTGACCAACCCTAACATTTGCTGTCTGGATAACAGGTAAAACAAAGCTGTTTATCAACTAATTTAGTCAACTCTGGGTTTTCCTACCCTGAAGTTACCCCGCTAACTAGTACAGGCCTCAGGTTATTCTTTTCCTTGTATACAAGACGCTGCTGCCACTGCCAAGGACAAAAGCAGACTGCAGAGCATCATTTGCTCCGCCGAGAAGGTGATTGGCTGCAATCCGCCCTCCCTCCAGGACCTGCACGCCTCCAGGACTCTGAGGTGCGCAGGAAAGATTGTGGCTGATCCCTCCCACCCTGGACACAAACTCTTTGAGACTCTCCCCTCTGGCAGGAGGCTGCGGTCCATCACGACCAAAACCTCACGCCATAAAAACGGTTTCTTTCCATCTGCAGCTGGCCTCATCAAAAAAATAGCCCCCCCCCCCCCCGGACCTAACACACAGTCGGACATCTCTTCATCATCTTGGTCATTCACCTGTCACACACTGCATTCCGTTGATTTTGCACATCCATACTTTGCACACAACCCTATTCATATTTACAGTGTACATATTTTTTATATTACTATTATTATTTGCATTCAGATTTTATATTTAATTGTTTATAGTATTTCCTTTTTATACTTATACTTCTAATTACTTTTTATTTTTATGTATTTTATATTCTTTGTTATGCACCAATTCACCAAGTCAAATTCCTTGTATGTGAAAACCTACTTGGCAATAAAACCGATTCTGATTCTGATCACACTAGTATCCAGGGATCTGATCATGTGAGTGCAGTTGTGTTCATTTCTTTCTATCTTAGCCAATATGCTCTGTACCACCAAAGACTGGATATTAATGGATATGGAGTGGAGTAACAAGGACCCTCATGCACATGTAAATGCACTCATTGTAAACACAGACAGTTTTATAAATGTGCACGGCTCTTTGTTTCTGCAGTCAAAGCAGGGTCTAAAATTAGCACCCACCACCTGCCAGATCCAGGTTAATTACTGGCAGTGGCGTGTGAAATAGTCAGGCCATCTGCCACTTTGGCAAACAGGGAAAAGTGCAAAATGGAAACACATTCAATAAGCATATGATTGAATAGAGCTGCACACAATGCTGTTGTCATTAGAACCGTATTCGCTTTGACAGTCAAAGATCACAGAATTCTGATGCTGTGTTTAGGGATGCACGATAATATTGGCACGTTGTGGGAATCAGCCAACGTGCTTTTTCTTAGTTTGCACAATGAATGAATATTAGACGTTGAAAGGCACAGTATATGTCTCCATCTGCTGGTTGGCCTTCATGATAAGAGCATGCATGCATTATATGATGTTAATTCCACTACAGAAGAGACTTTCTGTTTTGTGACTAAACTGTTTTCCAGATTAATCAGATTCATTTCCTACATTTTCAAAGGATTAGTGAGGTTCAACTCTGGAGGTCAATAATTTATTACCTCATAAGAAAGTTTGTTCATTCACCATTTTATTAGATATTTACACGACAAAGTGTTGAAGCAGATTCTGCAACGAGTCAGACAGAAATGATTAAACTGTGTGTGACATGTGTCCTGCTGCTATGAACAAAACAAACCGCCCAAGTTTCCTTTGAGATAATTTATTTTGTACAGTAAAACAGAGATTCAGAGGTTGCATTGCATCCACTGAGTTTTTGTGGTGATGACAGGGGAGGATGGATTAACACACACCCAGGATGATGTTACACAATCTAACGGCAACCTTTTCTCAGCGTTTGTGTGACTATTGAATATCTTACAAAGATGGGCAGTCAACTGACTTCTCAGTCGATTGTGACAAAGTGTCTGATACGAGATGTCGAGACCTGAACTGCTGCCAGCGATGACTCGATGCAGATCAAACAAACTTTGTGAGGGGTGGGTTCAAGAACGCCACAACTCTCAGACACACTTGCACCACAGTATTCCAGATAAAGAAGAGTCTGTCACACAAATGGTTCTACCACGCCAACAACTAAAAACAGGCATTCTTCTGTAAGAACAAACATAATATATACTCTCATTTCTCTACCCCCTCTTAGAAAGGCATGTGTGTGGTTGTCAGTTGTTCTTAGTCCGTATAATCATCGTGAGGTGAGCGTTGTGGGGTCGTTGAACGCAGCCCCTCTCTGGTAGTTTTAGGCCCAGGTAGGGGTGTTTGTTTCAGTTTACTTTGGAGGCCTGTAGGCGATCTTCCTGCTCTTCAGCACAGACCACCTGTGTCTCTTCATATAGTAGATCAGAGGGATGAGGATGCCGGAGCCCAGCAGCAACTGGAAAGAGAACAAGAGCACAAAGATTAATCTCATGAGCTCCACGTTTACACCCAGTTTTCACTGGTTCTACGTTCTGACAATTCTTTGTTCAACACAGAGAACTTGAAACAGCCGTAGTGGTGATACAATGATTTCCGAAGCAAGTGTATTATATTAACGTATTTTAGTCTGTAATCTCTGGCAATCTTTGTGTTGTGTTTTTGTACTGTACTGTGTTTGTGTGGTATTTGCATTTGGTCTTTGTCCTGTCATTAAAATGTCACTTTAAGAAAGAAAAGGTTAAACAAAAGGGGATTTACAGGTGTTTTTTACAGTTTATTGAATTCTGCATGACCTGAAAAATTTGCAGTCCGAGCAACTTTTCCAAAAATTTGAACAATCACTGTAAATTCTCATGAGTTGCCAAACTCCCTTGTTTCTGGTTGTGAAGATGCAGACGTGCGACGCTAATGCCTCACATTTACCAGCAAACATTTCTGCTTAAGACCCTGCAAGGCAATTCACTGATGTTCAGCACGGAAGTGGGGGTACACTGTTTTCGCTGCATACAACTTTGTGGTGGAGCACAAATGGCATCAATTGACACTTTGTAAGATACATCACGATGACAGAGGTTGTTGTTTCTATATTTGTTGCCCATATTCAGAAATTCAGAACAGTGTGGTTTTATTCTCACTGGAATAAGATGCTTTCAGTGTTTTTACTTAATTACACACACATCAATATCACAACTATTTTTGCAATTTTCATTTGCTCCTCAATGTCTCTGCAAAACAGCTTCTAAAACAATCATAACATGCAAAGCAATTTTTGAGAAAAGCTGCAGTGAAATCAGGCAATTAAGGCTGCAACCATCCCAAAAAAAGAAAAAAAATCCTGGAGGGGCTGCCATACAACAGGGAAAAAAAAAATCAAAAACCTTGCCTTTTTAAAGGGCAGAAAGCCGGTATCAAATGTCAGGTCAGGTTTGTAATCCGTTTCTTATTTTGTTATCATATATTTACTGATTTAAATAATATTAGACTCTACTTTATTCAGGAAACCTTCTTGTGTGGCTGCTTGTGTTATAGTATTATCTAACAGTTAAAAACTTTGGCTCCTATTGTTAAAAGAAAACCATGTGTAAACGCCCCAAAGAAAAGTCTAGAAATAAGTACTGGTTCAGTACTGGTACCTAATCTAAGGTTTCACATTGGACCTAGTATCAGTGAAGCTTAATTTCAGCCCAGATGCAATCTAAGGTACATGTTAGGGATGGGCGGATCGATACCAAAATATCAATACTCTTGATACTTGAGTTAATAGGATAGACACCAAAAAAGGGATCACTTTCTCTCTTGTGTCTCATTTATTCGTATTTCAAGAGTAAATCTGTGTGCAAACAACATTCTATTGCCGTGAACACATCTAATGCATGTACTTTTTGCTTTTCCGCTGCTTATGTGTAGTCTGCACTCAGACAGCTTACTCTAGACCCAGCAGCGTTTTCTTAGTTTCACTTTCACTTTCACCCAATGTTGGCATTAAGAGGATGGTATGACCGCCTCCCAGCCCTCCTGTCTACTGCTGGGACCTGCGAACCCTCAGTTGTGCTATGTATAAAACCCTGTACGCATCCATGTGACTGTAGCCGTCTGTGGGCGTTCGATGCGGAGAAAAAAACGACAAAGAGCTTGGAGCTGCAGCTAAAAAGAGGGGAGGATAAAAAATAAGTAATATACTAAAAAGAGTCGTATCAGTATTGATATCGGCGACTCTGGCCCTGTATTACTTGGTATCTGATCAAAACCAAATTTTGTGGCATCGCCCACCCTTCGTATACGTGTGTGTGTGTGTGTGTGTGTGCGTGCTGTACCTTCAGTCCCATGCGTTTGCGTTGGTCGTGCTCTGGCTCGGCAGCCCACCTCAAGAACGTACATACATCTTTAGCGACCTGGCTCATGGTGGCAGGAGTTCCTATGGCAACAGACGCAGACAACTATCAGCACAAAGATTTTAACAACAGCAAACGGTTACACACTCTCACACACAGAGTGGCTGTAGATAAAATGGTTACATCTTCTTTCACAGTATCTTCAAAGCTGTAGCAACTGACTGAAATATTAAATGTGTACTGAAAAATTAATGTCTATCTATCTATCTATCTATCTATCTATCACAAAGTAAAGCATGTGATGAGATACCACTGTTATTTAGTGGGACCGGTCAATTGAACGGCCCGACAGCAGACTGTGCTGCACGCTGCATATTTACATACCATCGTCATACTCCAGCACCTCGTTGTAGATGGGTGGAGCCATGCCGATGGCCTGGCCAGGGAAGTATGGGTTGTAGTAGAGTCCCTCTCTCACCGTCACTCCTGCTGGAGGTTCGCAGTATCCTGTCAGCAGGCTGAACACGTAATCCTCTCCTCCATGTCTGAGGGAAGCGGGGGGACACAATGAGTACACACCAAGGACATGTGGATTTCAGGTTTCACTGTGCTGGTATTTTGTCTTTCAGGAGTTACCTGGCATTGACAATGTAGCTGAGGTCTGGAGGCAGGGCTCCGTTATTGGCGACCCGAGCTGCCTCGGCATTGGGATAGGGCTTTGGGAAGTAGTCCGACAGCTTTCCTGGCCGGGTGAACATCTCTCCACTCTCATCAGGTCCGTCCACGACCTCAACCTGAACACACAAGACACCTTTAAAATATGGCTGAAAACAGACTATTAGATTGACACATGCCCAAATACAATGATAGTTTTTCTTGTTCATGTTTATAATGTCTAATACTACAACATTTTTATGTGGTCAGTTTGAAACTGCTCCACCGCTGAGTCTATCATTCTTATGCTCACACACACACACAGCCTCACCTCCTCAGCAATGGCCTTAACCTCAGCCTCCGTATGCGACACTCCCACCAGGTTTCTGAAGGCCAGGTACTCCATACTGTGGCAGGCCGAACACACTTGCTTATACACCTGGTAACCACGACGAATACTGAAGGGGCAGAGAGGGTGACAGAGAAAGATGGTTAAAAATATGGTCATCCTTTGCAAATGATGGGTCAGATTATTGCAGACACCGTAGAATGTGTGTGTGTGTGTGTGTGTGTGTGTGTATGTGTCCATTCTACACACCTAGCGTGGTCCAGAGAGGAAAGAGGTCCAGCGTGGCTCCAGGGGTAGTTAGGGGGGTGGAGCTCAAGGTCAGAGGCTTTAACAGCTTGGTGCAGCATCAGCGCGAGCCCTGCCCCGCCAGCTGTAACCACACCTAGTGTCGTCAGGGCAACCTTCTTGTTTCGAGGCAGGCTGGCGAAGGACATGTTGGCCTGCGGAGGATCAAGAGCACAGGATATCTGTTAATTACCTGAAAACATCCCAGTACGACGATGTACAGCTAATAATTCAAAACACCCCATTACGTCATATACAAGTACTTTAAATTCTGTGGGATACGACTGAGATCAGGACCCATTAATAAACTAATCTATTAGTAGATTAACATAACATTAATGTTTGGATGATTTTGAGCA